CAGCAGGAGCTAGGCTGCCTGTGCGCCCGACTCTTACTATATTTAAACTGCAGAGATGCAGCAGCTTTCCATTACTGACTAATTGCGTCGTCAATAAAAATTTTATCAACTACATGATTAGTGGATTACCTGCCTCTTAACATGCCAAACCTTAGGAATCCTTTAAAATTAGTAAAGCATTATTGCTTTGATTGGAAAGCATGATTTTTAAACTCAATATAAAAGGATACCACAATAACAAATTATGAAATATACAAAAACTAAACTTCCTATTAGAACAACTTTAGATCTTGTCATTGTGAATTAGCATGGGGCCTGAGTGAGATTTCACTTAAAAGCAAAATTAAAAATTTTATCTGTTTGAAGGTTTTTGAGAAAAGTGACAAATATCTTTTTGTTTGCACATTTCTGTAAAGGCCTGAGTAGAACCCTGAGCCAATACAAATTTCTATCTGTGGATAGAAATTGGTATCCACTCATCTGCAGGCTCTACTCACAGGAACCACAGCACCCCTAGCTGGCTGCTGCTCCGAGATGTGTGACTGTACATGTCCAGAACTGCTCCCAGGAAGGCTGTATGATCCCCAACAGGAGATGCAGCTGGCAGTGGTACTGGGGGCAGTACAGCTGCACAATTCCTGGGAGCAGTAGCAGCACATCCTTTTCCTTTGGCTGCTGCAATTCCTAGGAAGAGAGTCCAGTGGATACCAATTTCTATCCACAGTTATTCACATCCACAGGTAGAAATTTGTGTCCATGCAAGGATCTGGGGAGGGGGTGCGGGGGGGAGAGAGAGAGGGAGGATAAAATTATAGTATTTCCATTTAAAAAAGATGGTATCTACTATTCCATTAAGAATGTGCCTTTTGGTCAAAGGCCAGTGAATTATCAGATTATAACAGCTTAATGTCCCATTTTGGACATGTACCTTGCCTTTGTAGGACTGTTTCATCTTTAACTACTACATTCTCCTTTATAATCTATGCTTTTCAATTTTATTTTGAAGATAGATGATACTAAAGCATCATCATTGTTTATTTACAGAGTTCAAAGAACCTTCTCTAAAAAAATAAAAAGATTTATAAGAAGTATGCCTAATGAAGATATTATTATCTGTGCTAAGTAGGTGAGTACACCAAGCCTCACACTTCTCTTCAGCCAACTTATACTTAATACAGACAATACATTACTCCAACCCAAGCCTTGCTTTCATCCAGAGAAGTGTTCTGTCCCAGGTTAAATGTTTGCTACATGGAAAGCAAGACTTTATATGTGATGTACTGAAATATTAGCGTGCATGCCATTAAGCAGAAGGCTTAATTAATTATGCACATGCCATTAGCCAGAATGCTTTTCCAGCAGACCTTTGTTTGAGCAATAATATTGCTGGACTTCAGGAAACTACATGATCCCCTACTTTGCACAACTTAACAGGCATTATGAAAGGTCAGGAATAACCCACTATCTCCATATGAAAACAGAGGAAGTCAATCCACTGAACTAAGCATCCAAATTCTGGACATGGAAAGTCTGCTAATCCCCATTAAGTTAGAAAGTAAATCTATTGAGTTCAACACAAAAATTATTGTGGAGAGGTTGAGCTTAACAGTCAAGAAGCTCTCTGAAAAAATGCTTTCTAGAGGCCAATCTAAATCTCTGTGTCAAGGTCAAATTAATCTCATGTAAATTTACTAAATCAATAGATACACACAAGATGAATTTGGTTTGTAGTTTCCACTGTTAGTATTGTCCTGTTACATTGTAATGTATTTATTTTAGTAATTAAAATACACCCAGCCAATACTCTGAACCCACAAAATCAACAACAATATATCATTTAGACCCAAGTCCAAAATCTAAAACCCTCTCCATAATACTGAGAGAACAAGTCAGTCTTGCGGCATGATCTGGAAATTAGCATATGTAGGGTCCAATTAAAAACATTTTACAGTTGGGGACAGCTTGCCTCCAGCTCCATCATGGTCAAACTTAGATACTGTTAGCTTGAGTACCTCAGTTTATCCCAACTACCACAATACTATGCAAAGAGAGTGAAAAATGGCGTGACAGAATAAAGAGGAAAATAACATCCCCACAATTTATGTTCAGACCTAGGAACACTTCCTCTTGGGCCTGAAGAGACATCTCATGCCTCCTGGAGGCAGATCTCTTACACAAGGCAGAGTGGGCCATGAAAAGATCAAACCCAGTTTCCTGAGATCTTACTACTGCAAAAATAGAAAAATGTTAATTAAGGAAAAGAGAAATAAGAAAGATTACCTTTGACCAAAAGTTGTTACCATCTGGTGGTTGTTCATTGGCCTATGTGATCCAGTTCTCAGTGGACTAGTGCCCATATCACAAAACCCAACACCACAAAAGGTACTAAATGGCACCCTTGTTGGCAGTCTCACCAGAGAGGCCAATAATTGAATGAGCATGGAGACTAAATTCCCTCTCATCCCTAGAAGTGATCCCTTCAGGTCAGGGTTGATGCACATTGGTGGGGCAGTGTGGAGGAAGCTTGCACTCCCACTGCCTGTGCTGTACCTGTTCTGTGGATAAAAAGAGGACTTCAGTCTCCAAGGCTGTCAATTCAGGTCCCTTCACACAAAGGTGCACTAGATTTTCACAAGATTTTTGTTTTAAAAAGAGGGATTACCTTACCCAAAGCACATTCCTTAAAATATAGCTTGATACTTTGCAGAGAGGAAAAAGCTAACTATGTCTTATTCATTGACAGAAATAAAGCTATGTAAAGTTTGGCCAATTCTTCCACATACCTTCTGTGTTGTGGTGTTTGTTGTCTGTGTTGAGGGTTTAGTAAACGTTATTTTCACAGGAGACATGTGTGGTGGTAAGGAGTTGGCAATGCTCTGCATGATATTACTCATCTTGGGGCTGCCACTTACAGGTACCGTGATAGTTTTAGTGACAGGAGTGACAGCTTTCGGGACTTCTTTCAGAAGAACAGGAGAGGAACTAGAGGAGTTAGTTCGTCGTCTTTTACGGGGCTTTTCATCATCATCTGAGCAGCTGACACCTGGAAGAACAAGATTTTTCAATTATATGGTGTTTTTCATCTGACCATCTCTCACTATTTTCCAATAACATTAAGCTTGTTAAGTCTTACATCCATATTCAAATGGGAAAACAAAAGGCAGAGAGAAAATACAATCTTCCAAAGGTCACAGCAAGTCCATGACAGACCTGAGAACTGAACTAGGTGCTCTAATTCCCTCCCACAGATCACACTTGTTCTCATACTACTACATTTCTCTTTAAAAACCCCCAAAGATATTGAATCATATTGCAGTTTAATTCTGGTTAAGAAATTAAAAGAACATAGCCTGTGTGGAGTTTTGCTTATCTTTATAAATATGGTAGAAATTACACTAACAAGACTGCACATGTGTGAGGGGTGTAGGAAGCCGTTTTTCAAATGCATTCCGACTCAGAACTCCACATTCAGCTTTTCCAGCAGGTTTCATCTATGATAATTATGCACATTTAACTAAAATTTCCCTTTATTCTGTCACATCATGCTCTCCTAAACCTTTTGTGCCTTCTTTCATGCAACATTGGGTTTAACTGGTTAACCGATTAAGTGGGGTCCTGGGCAGGGGACTGCTCCATCCGAACTGGAGCAGACCCCACCCTGCGGAGTTGCTGGCTCCCGTGCAGGCCTGTGACATATTGGGCCCAGTGGGGGTGCTCCCGAGGCACTAGTTAACTGTTACTTGGTAAGCATCACACAGTAAGGATGATCATTACTAGGTAACTGGTTACCCTTTGACATCCCTATCTCTTCCTCCTTCAAATAGCTCTGAAATATATTTAT